GAGATCCTGGAGGGATCCAGATGTTCAAATATGAGCACATAAGGGATGATCAAAAAATACATCGAATGTTCAAATTTTTAAAAATATATTAAAAGAAATATTGCAAATAATAATGTGATCAGTGAGTTTAAAGCAGGAGGGCATGTTTGCGTATTTTAAGGGGCTTGATGGCCATGTGTCTTTTGCTGTAATTAATCCTTTAACTTAAACATTCACTATATTTTTGAACAGCCATCATTAGGCAAACATTTACCACAATTTCTGTCAAATAAAAACCTTAAGGCATGCTCTCACCCACCGCACTCAGTGGATCTTGCCCTGTGCAACTTCTGGCTCTTTCTCAGCCACAAGTAAATGTTTTGAACAATTCGGTATCCAGGAAGTCACACCAGTGCAAGCAAAGATATAGAGGATTTCCAAAACTACATCAGACAGTGGCAAGAATAGTGGGATACACATGCTAAAAGTGAAAGGGAGTACTTTGAAGCAGATTAACGACCATGTGTCTACACTGCACTGGATTCTTAATGCATCTTTTTAATTCGCTCATCTCCCCTCCTAAGAGAATACCCCTCTTGGAGCTGTCTCCTGGAGGGCAGAATAAAGAAAAAGGCAGGCAGCCTGAGGAGACCGGAGCTGCTGAACACCACACCCAGAGTCATCCGGGCACCAGACGATGCTGCCTGCCACAGCTCATTAATAGAAGCTGGGAAGGGTTATGGTTTCAAATCTAGCTTCCACAACCATTGGCAGGTTGCATATGAAGAAGGTAAGGACACAGGGACCCCAAGAAAGCACACCTCCAGGGAAGGGCAGGAACAGGGAGGAAGCACTAAGATTTAGTTGTAGAACATTTATGCAGCTTTTCGTGCCAAAGGAAAAGCTTGCATTATTAGTGAAATGATTCTAACTTATGACACAAGTAGAGCTACACATAGGCTGGCCGTGTGACTCCTTGTCCAGTCCTTCTTTACATGGTCAGGTGCGTTCAGTCCACATCCTTATGAGGACAATGGATGGCGGCCTGCAAAGGTAGCTCAGCACCAAGAGGCTGGAGCAAGCAGCTGCCAACTAGGAATTCATTCTAGATTCTAAGGCTCTCTTCCTTCACTTCTAATTCTTTCATCAACTTCTCAATCTGATTTACCCACTATAGTGGGTCCCTGACTTACCATCTCAATTCATTCACGAGGGCTGGATGTAACTTGGTTGTAAGGCAAGACTACTTTTCCAAAAGAAATAGTGGCAATACCCATAATATGTCCTGAACCTCCCAAACACCCCTTAACTATCCTTTTCATACTTTATTGTATAATGTGTATAACTTACCAGAAACATGAATAATTTTTTTGTATTCACCAAAAGGTTATAAAATGTGCCTGGTTTCCAACAACAATTTCATGCTGTACCCACCCTTCAAATTGAAATCTTTGGCTTTCAAGAAAAAAGGATGAAACAGAAGGTGGCTATTGTTTGGAAGGAGAGTCCCTTTGCATAAGAGCATCTGGAATCTGGCTCTCTGGTGTCCTTTCTCTCCTTGGGAAAGTCTGTAACCCACTAGGACCTGCTTCTGGCTCACTAGGTCTCAAACTTTTGAGAACTAAAAACTGGTTTAATGTTGTCTGTTTCCGTCCTTTTTTTTTTCTTTCTTTCTTTCTTTCATTTATGTATTTGGTACAGGGTCTCGCTACACAGCTCAGACTCATAGTATTTTCAGCCTCCCCAGCGCTGGGATTACAGGCATGCACCACCACTCCCAGACTCTGTCACCAGCTCAGCATGCCCAAGAGATGGGGTCGGCATAGCACGTGGGACCAGGGATCGAACCCTTGTCCCTGAGCTTGCCAAAGCAGGTACTTAGTCTGCTGAGCTATCTCACCAGCCCTGTCTCTAACACTACTCTATAGTATAATAGGCTATCATCATTAAGTAAGTAAATATAACCATTGGCTTTTTCTGTCTGGGTAGGTCTTCACAAATGTTAGTAACTCCATCCACATTTTTCAGGATTTCATTTATTTCAGAAGAAAAGCTTTGTGGTATTGATTGTTGGTAGTGCCCCACCTTTGCAGACAGCTCCTCGGCTGCCATACTCTGCTTCTCAGCCAGAAGTTGCTGAGTTTCTCTGTAGACAATTCTTATCAGTATTTTCCCACCAGTTCTTCAACATTACCATCTACCTGCAAATCTATGGATTCTTCTATAGTGATGGTATCATCAACTACACGGTCAACTGAAGGCTCAGGCTCCTCTACACAGTCTTCAAATTCTCTCTCCTTTATAATTTTAGGCCACACTTTCTTCCAGAAAGAACTCCATGTACCTAGACATTGGCCCAGAACTTCTCAACTAACCTTTTATAGGAAAGCAGGCTGCAGTGTTCCCTCCAGAACTCATTAAGGCTTTACTCTGTATCTGAGGCCAGGTGGAAGCACTTCAGGAACAGTTCTTTGGTATATCACTTCATAAAGTTAGCTATAACCTGCTGGTCCATAGACTGCAGTAGAGGAGTAGTATTACATGGGAGGAACTTGACTGGAAGCTATAGGGATTCTTCAGGCAACTCTTCTTCCAAATCTTGAGGGTGAGCAAGAGCATTGTCCAGGATGAGGAGAGCCTTGAGTGGTAAGCCTTTGCCCTCTAGATATTTAAAGTAGGACAGAAAGCTTCCTTGTTCTACTAAAGGAAAAGTGCTCTTATGACCCAGGTGTTTGCATTAGGTCTTCACACAACCCCTAGCCAATTCTTCACTTCTTTATGGTTTCTAAACACTCTAGGAGTCTCGGAGTGGTAAATCAAGAAAGGCTTTCTCTTGAGGTGACCACTTGCATTGGCACATAGAAATGAGTTTAGGCTGTCCTTCATAGGCTTGTGGCTTGGCATTTTCTTCTCTTCTGGGGTAATGTATGTTCTGGGCACTTTTTCTAGAAAAGGCCAATTTTGTTATAGTTGAAAACTTGATGAGAGCAAAAGTCATTTCTCTGTATCATTATTTCCAAAGAATGAATGTAACTTTCAGTAGCCCTTTTGTTAGCACCTACTGGCCATTTCATGCCTCGTTACAGCACGAACCCCAGTTCTCATTTTAAAATTGTGAAACCACCCCTTACTGGCACAAAATCTTTCACCACTAGCACTTGTTGATGGATTATCTTTTACAAGATATCCATATACAGCCCTAGCTTTTTCACAAATTATAGACTCAGGCTCTATAGCCAGCCACCTGCCTTTCATTTATTCACACTAATAATAGCCATTGTACCATATATAATACTGCCGATCATGACTTGCTAATTTGAGGAACCCCTTTAGCAACACTATCTTCCTTATGCAAATCTTTCACTCTTTAAGATTGTCAAGATGAGGGCCAGGGAGATGGCTCAATAGAATAAGCACTGGGCCTGAGTTCAATCCTCAGTTCCGCAAAAAAAATTAAAATAAAATAAAATAAAAATTAAGATTGTCAAGATGGTAGATTTCAACATGCTGTACATATTAGCAAGATCAGTCAAAGGAATGCCACTCACATTTCTCTATAATTTCCTACTTCTTTTCAATTGTGATCGTTTTCTTTACCTTCCCTCCCTTTCTTAGCTCCTTGTTTTAGCTTTTGGGGGCCATTTTGATAGCAGTAGTCATTGCAATTACTTAGAGCACTGACTAAAGTCACACCCACCAGCACACACATCTAGACTGCTGCTTACATACACTTTTGTGATATTGAGAGCCTCTGTTTACAGCTACAAGGGTGACTGACATTGAGCACATAACTTAAAGACATTGGTCCTAAGTTAAACCTAAAATTCCAGGCATAACCCAAGTTGTCTGCATATGAGGTCAGCAGTACTGTTGGGTCCACTGTACTTTTATCACTGCCCAATTAGAAAACTATGGCCCATATATCAGGTGTCTACTCACTCTGACCCTGAGTTTAGAAAACAGCTAAATGCTTAGCTCTAAAACATCCTCCAAAAGACTCAGGTGTGACAGCTCAGCCTCCAGCGCAGCAGTACTCAGGAGCGGGGCTTTAGCAAGTGACTGGATCATCAGGACACTGACCTCATCAGTAGGTCCACACCTGGATGGGCTTATGACCTGATCACAGCAGGTGGTGAAAACTTCAGGGGAAGGATGTGGGTCGCTGAGAGATATGCTGGATGGGTGCATAGCACTCCTACTCTCTCCCCCGCGCTGCTTCCCAGCCACCACAGGCTCTATGACTACAACATTCTGCATGCCACAGACCCAACCTCAGAGACAGGGCCCCGGAACTATGAATTGAAACCTCAGAAACAGTGAACCAAATCAAACCTTTCCTCCTGTAAATTGCTGTCATATGTATTTTGGCAAAGCTACAGAAAGCTAATACATAGTTCAACAGGATTTTAAAAGAAAGCTTGGAATGATTCTTAGCAGAAGGTATCGGTAGCAACAGAAGGTTGGGCTCTGTTGTTGGGACATGACAGTGTAATGCCTGGAATGGAAAGATCGGGCTTTTTTTTCTCACTGATACAATCATGAAAGAAGAAAGGGCCGGCCAAATAGCTCTGAGGATTAAAGCACCTGAAAGCAGGCACAGGGGCCAGGGGTTTGATCCCTAGGTTTGCTGTGCCAGCCCCGCCCCTGGGGCACTGAGACTAGGCGTGGTGGCGTGCACCTGTAATCCCAGCTCTTGGGAGGCTGTAAACAGGCAGATTACTATGAGTCTGATCTAGTAGTGAGATCCTGAATACGTTATGGACCCCTAAAATTAAAAAAAAGAATTACTTATTTCTCCACCATGAACATATTATCACTCCATATTTTCTTAATACATTAGGAAAGGTTTTTTGTTTTAATCTCATTACTTTTCTCCTATGCTGATACCTGCCTATCATGACAGCAGTGGTTTTTCTTTTTCAGCTACCATACCAGTGACACTAGAAGAATCAAGAAGAAATGTAAGAAACAGACAGCTGTTTCTTCCTTCTTTTGCTTTTGTCTTGTATCTTTTATCTTACCTTGAGCTTGGCCAAAAGAAGTTCATGGTCCTGAAGCAGTTTTCTGGTTTCATCCTGAGTGCTCCCAATTTCAAGAAGGTTGGGCTGGGATTCAGCCAGCTGAAGTTGTACCCATTTGCCACACTAAAAATAAAAATGAATGAAATGCACTTTTAGTTCCTCTTTTTCCATCCTCTACTTTTTTCCCTTTTCAATTTTATTTTTTAACTTCCAGTTATACACAGAATGTTTTTCTCTGCATAGAGATGGGCCATACTTAAGTTGGAACAAAACAGGTCTGCTATAAGTCCTGCTCTGCCTTGCTTTATTCTTATGATAAATTCCTGTCTCTGGCATACTGGACTTGAATATTTAAAATTCCCAAATAAGAAACATGTACAATGCAGTGTGTATCACTGAATACTACAAAGTTAAATAACAACAACAACTGTAACTGTATATAAGCAGTTAAGTTCCACAAGGGCACAGTAGTACCCAAACTTCACCTTGGATCAAACACAGGATTTCTATGTTTCTACATGGAAGAGCTTGGAGCGTATTCTATATGGCCCAGACAGTAAGGTAAAGGGACCAGAAAGGGGACAATAAGGGAACATTCTTACAAACATAATTCAGTTAAAGTGAGAATTTCTAGTGTAATTTAAAAATTATTTACTCAGGTTCCACGCATCTTTGATTTTTTTTAATGACAAATATTCTAGGAATATTTCATGCTTGAGGAGAGAATTAACTTTTTAGATTTGCCCCTCTCCCCTCACCACTGAAATTTTGTAACAGCTCAGAGCACCAGGAAGCCACTTGCAAAAGATCAGTCCTCATGGCTGCTGCCTCAGAGTTTTCAATGCCATTCACCTCCTCTGAAATGATCAGAGGGCAAAGGAGTCAGAGGAGGTCCTGCTTATGTGGGGCCGGAGTGCCACAGCACTGACAAGTTGTATTCAGGAAACTTTTGCTTTCTGCATTCTGCACTTCCACAGTGAATGGTCTTGCTCAATGTCCAGTTCTATGCTGCTGTTACAAATTTTCATATAACCCTAACATTTGTAGTAATTAAACTAAACAGCCCTTGTTGTCCTTGCTTTTAAAAGGGCCAGAAAAGCCATGCAGAGAAGCCGGCTGGGGTCTTGTAAGCGACTGGCTGGTGAACAGCAGCTTGTTCACCAGGTTTCTTTTCATTAAACACTACATTCCTTAGGTGGCAGATTGCATAAAACCCAAGCATAATGCTTCAGAGGTTTTCATGGGGAACAAAATCACAGATTTCTTCTTCAATGTGTGGTCATCTTTGCAAGTGAGCAAATTGCTGGACATAAAACATGCACTTAAGCCCCAAGTGGCTTCAGGATTGTGGTAAGAGCAAACGCAACAAGTGCTGTTTGCAGCCCTCAGGGGCAGGGTCTTCATTCCCTACGAACGGCCGAAGGATTTCCTAGTGCCCTGGCCGCCTCCAAGCCACGCAGCACGGGCTCAGGCCAGAGCCTCTCTAGACGCTCCCGGGGCTCCTTAGAACTCAGTGGTACCCTGCTCCGACCCCACACGCAGTCAAGAATCACGAGGGTTGCACAGCCCCCGCCTCTTCCACTGGCAGTCACTGTCCTCTGATCACACATGCCTCGCTTTTCAAGACCAAATTGAAAGTTTGGGGGAAAAAAAAGAAAAAAGAAAAAGAAAAAAAAGTGTGCTATCTGTCTTAGTTACTCTTCTCTCGTTGCTGGGACAAATACCCAACACTCACAGTGAAGGAAGGAAAGGTTTATTTAGCTCACAGTTACTGGAGGTTTCAGTCCACACTCAGCTGGCTCCAAAGCAGAGCAGCACATAGCAGACGGCAACTTTTCATGGTGGCGGCAAAGAGCAAGAGCGCAAAAGGAGTAGCTTCTCTTCCCACCTTACATTGTAATGCAAATTGCCTGTCCCAGGGTAGGGGAAGTACTCACACCTATGGGTACTTCCCAGTATTTACCCACCTATGGGTAATCCCAGCAGTACTAAGACCCATAATCCCAGCCTTGGATCACACATAATCCCAGGGGATCATGAGTTAACACAAACTCTAGAAGTCCTCACCCCATGACTGCATGAGGCTTTGGGGGGACAACTAGACACAAACCATAACACTATCAAAACGCTGTACGTGCCCTCTGGCTAACTGAAAAGGCAAGAGAAGACTCTTGGAACTGGCTAAAACTTACCAGTTTCTCTTATTGCAGATTTAAACATTCTTAAGAACATTTACTTTTATCTTGCATATGCTAAATAAGTCCTGCTGCCTGAGTGCACTATTCCTTAGAGCTACCACACCGCCCACAGCCACAGAGGAAAAAGGAAAGTTGTTAACTTACCTTTATGACAGCTATCACGATTTTGGAGCCTCCAGCCTGCACAGCTACTGAGCACACAGTGGTGGTGGAAAACTCTGTGCCAGGGCTGCGCTGGACCGACATGGCTTTTCAGGAGAGTTCTACCTGGGGCAGCGTCTCTACCGAAGCTAGTCTGCTGGTCATTTCAAAAGACAGCCACCAGGGTTACTTGGATTCATTCAGAGGGAAAGAGCTCGGCTTGCACCGGTTCCTCTGCCAAAGGGAAAGAACAGGAGGTTAAAAATAGACACTCTCATTGAGTTTATCGTGAGAGAGAGAGAGAGAGGAGAGCGAACAAAGAGCCACGCCCCTAGCATGGTAACACTAAGAGCCTGTTATTTTTGCCTTTATCTGAAAAGAGAACAGCTTTGAGCTCTTTGCCTATCAGCTGATGATTGATAGCAAATGGAAACAAAATTACATCCTGACAACCCAAATCAGTTTTGCCACTGAAACTAAACAGTTGTTACTATGGACTTTGAAACCAGAAAGTCGTTGACCTGAATATTAAACTTTTCAAGGTTTTTTTTTTCCCCTCCAAGTCTCTCGTCTCTCACATGGTAAGAGAACAAAACAAAACAAAAACAGAACAAAACTAACCACCAAACATGGTGGTTTTTGAAAGTTCTATTATTTGTCTGGGGGTTAAGTCAGAAAGTTGACTGAAAAAAATGTAGATTAATCTGCTTTTCAAAAACTTACTGCCCTCTGCCCAATGACATCTAAATGGAATTGCCACATCTTTCCAAAGCCACAAGTTTCTCGGGGACATTTTTCAAATATTTCAAACAGCACTTATCAATAGATACCTATCACTTCAAGATTTCAGCGTGACTGTTCTGTTGCCTTGAATAGCATTTTTCAAGTCAGTTTTCACAATCACTAGGAAGCAAAATATTTTGTTGCTACTTTCTAATTGCAGTCAGAAATGTATTTTACCTGACAAAGGCTAAAAAAATAAGTACATTCTGTAACAACTTTTTAAAGGGTAGTACTGTACCTCAGGCTACTAAAGGCTTGGCTTTTATTCCCCACTTTCACTCCCTGAGCAAATTATAACTGGCTGCAGATCAGAGCCCAAGATCGGCAGATTAAGCCTATTGCTAGAAACTCCCATGTGTCACAAGTTGTCTGTGGTATTAAGCAGCAGCTGTTGGAGTCCCTGTCAAAGAACAGCTGAAAATAACACTGAGGTTCAGGTCAGAGGTCAGATGCAAACGCACCACAGGCACTACCTCCAGAGCTGCCAGGACCGGTGGAAATCTCTGGGACAAAGCCAGCACAGAGGATGGAGCCATAAACAGAGTGAAATGAGCCCACTCAGCTCAACGTAAAAGCACGTTCAGGTTGAGGGCTGAAGTGTAGCAGTCAGAGTCAACGCCATCCGTTATTTTGCTGAGGTTCACGATTATATTCCTGAGCGTGTGTATGTGTATGTGGGTCCATACCTTGGGGGTTGAAGAAGTGTCTTGTTTCCAAGGGTGGACCATGGACCATCTGCGGCTGTGCAGCCGCAACCCTCACTTCTGCTTTCAGTCAGTGCCTGCCTTCCACTCTGGGCAAATGGAGACCACACCTGCATCCCAGTTCTTCTGCTGAGTGAATTCACCTGATGTTCTGAGGGGAGCAGTTGGTACAAGCGCAGGAGAGGAGGTGCAAGGCACTCTGCAGCGTAGAAAACCCTCTGGATCAACAGCGCTGAGGACCTGCCGAGAGCCAGCTACTTTGGGGTACCGAAGGGGGTTCCCTCCACTACAGCAAATGTGGTTGGTGAGAACAGAACAAAACAAACTGCACCCCACTTTTAGCTAATCAACCTCAAGAAAAAGCAGGAGTTGACACCTGTGTCACAGACTGTCCACACCCTAAACTAAAATGCCCAACGAGCATTGCCCAACTCTGCATTGCCAACCAGGTCAGCAAACAGTGGTATGCACTTGGAATACCCCATGCACTTTCACCCGGCAAAGTTAAGCCTTATTGCTTAGCAACTGTGGGACACAGATGGCATAAAGGCCCTCAGGAGGGGAAAGGGATGTTTTGGCAACCCACTACGAGGACCACAGGCCAAGTAAAGAGTGGCTGTATCCACAAAGCCAGGCTCAAGGAGGAGGATTGTGTAAGGGGTACAAAGGACAGCGCGAAACTTCTGAGCTCGCAGGCCCAGCGAGAGGGGGAAACAGAGAACAGAAACAGAGGGGACAGCATGTGGCTAAAAGTCTGGTTAATTCTAAGGTTTAAGGGCAACGGGAACTGGAAATATTTAAGACTTTGTTCAAAGATTAATCCAGCTCTCCAGCGGCAAAGGTAGTGCCCTGTGTGTGTGCAGCATGACCTTTATTTCTGCTAATTAGATGGATTCTGTCCAGGGTGTTGCATAAAGAAAATGTTTTCTACTTTGGTGGACACAGCAGTAAAACAAGTTGTGTGTATGAATTTAAGTGGCTTCAAGATGAAAGCTTTAAAGTTTTGGCTTTAAGACCTGCAACCGATTCAGATCATATTCCCTCCTCTGCTTTTCCCTCCCACTGGGCTCCTGCTTCACTCCTTAGTCCTCTCCTCCTGCAGAGACACTCTGTTGCTCACGTCTCTGCAGCAGCATCTCACTTCTCTGGAAACCTGGCACACTTTTCTTTCCTTAGAATAATATTTAACAACAAATTGAGGTACTTACCCCATTAAACAATTAAGAAAATAGCTGGTCAAGGATGTATTGTACTAGGGAAACTGATACATCATGTTGAGATGGAATTTTAAAATGTCAAAATAGTAAAGGCTTTTCTACTTTATTCTCTGTCTTCCATCACACACACACACACACACACACACACACACACACGCACTCCAAAACACAACCCTTGGAGGTATTTCTATACCTTTGAAGTTTAGTGAGGATCTCACACAGGTTATGAGGCCTTCTATGTTTATCCCTTTGGGAAATGCTTGGTTTTAGAGTGAATTCAGTGAAGCGTCCTCCATAGGGAATCACAAAGCTGTGACTAGTTCTTCTAGAATTGAAAGCAGCTCATTTTTAAGCGAAATAGAGAGCTAGTAATTTGAGGACTTTTTCATGGGAGCATTTTTCAGCTGCATCCAGAGTATGTCATTTAACTGCCCCTTTGCTGGAGACCATGTAGGGTCTGCTCACATATCCACCTAGAATTTATTTTAACCAATACTACTCCTGGTTCAACTGTAAAGACACTTTAGATAGACCTGATATATATAACTCAGAATGAGTTTCTTCATCCATATTAAAAATTCAAAGCAAAGCTTTCTCTGCTATTATCCTTAGCAGCAGTAGCAATAACAGCCACTTAGTGAGTGATGAGTGGACGCCAGGGACCGGGATACATACTTTCCTTTTTATTCTATCGACGTCACAAAATCAGGTTGGAACAACTTGTTTTTGTGACTTTGTACATGAGATCCACGCACCTACGCATTCACACATAGTGCATCATCGATTCCAGCACCGCTGGTCCCCTGTTCTGGGCTGGGTTTAAACCTCCTCATGGACTGGCTCCTCTCTACCTGCCCAGATAAACACATCCCTGTTTGGGGATCCCAAAGGTCATCTTGCTTTGTACTTTAATTCAGTTGTTCTAGTCAGGAATGTCACCCCTCACTTCCCTGCACCTGGCCAGATTCCTCCCAACCCAAAATCAAGACCTACCAACATCTTTTAGAAGTTGAAATGCCATCTGTAGTCCTTTAGCTCAAAATCTAATTGAAGCTCACAATTTCATAATTACATGCTAATATTGGAAAATCATATTGCTTTCTAGTTATTTCACCTCCGTACATTTTCTTTCTAGATTCTGTGTGACTCTGTGTGAAGTTCATCATGGAGAAGAGCCGTGTGCTAACTGGCTCTCCTGATTCTTGTTTTGGTTCTAGGGAGTTGTAGAGATCAGAAGTTGTTTTACAGAAAGTGCTTAGGAAAGGACCCGGCATCTAATAACCATAACTGTAATACAAGGCATGGAATTGGTGCTGGAATTCATGCTGTGGATGATGCATTGTTTCAACGCTACTTCTTTATTCAGCGTTTATTCCTGTATCCATAGTTACTGAGCTTTGCTATAAACAATTAAGCATTAGGAGTATAGAAGTGAGCAGAAGGAAGAGACCCCTGCCCTCTGGATGTTCTTATTGTAATGAGAAAAGACAGATCCCAAACAATGAAATAAAGAACAAACACATTGCGAGCGGGATAATAATAGAGAGAAAGGGGCTGGGGAGATGGCTCAGTAGAATAAGCACTTGCCTAGTAAGCGCAAGGGCCTGAGTTCAATCCCCGGTTCCGCCAAAAAACAAAATAATAATAATAATAATAGTAATAGAGAGAAAAAGCAACCCTAGTGGTTTCAATACATTGAATCACAAATGTAGCATTTAGAACTTGCCGGAAAAATCAGAGGTTGCTATCAGGAAATTTCTATGAGTTATTGAGATTAACAGGAATAATAAACTGATAACGGTTACAAGACTAATAAAAACAAATTCAGTTACACAACAAGGCAGAGGCTCTGAGTTAGGGGCATGAGCTCAGGTCAGCCTGCCTTAATCTCTCTGTGCCTTCTATTCCTTGAAGATTTGGATAGTGGGAATATATACACCACAAGGCTTATCAGGAGGATGAAATGAGATATATCTGTAAAACATTCAGTGCCTAACACACAGATGGTGTTCTGATAGTCATAAATAATTATTTCAGAGATGACAATATCTACTAAGGGTTTCCCTAAACCTAGTAGCTGCCAAATTTTTTAATGCACTTAAAATTTTAAAAATCGAGTTAAGACATAAGGTAGACAACCCAGATGAATCCAACATATCAGCAAGGCAAAATATGCATTACCAAGAAGTAAATTATTTCACTACTAGTCAGATCCAAGAATATTTCAGTGTGTCATCATTTCTAGAATGCCATATCTACTGCTCATGGTAGCCAACATTTCCCAACCCATTATTTATATCATATGATACATTTCCTGGTACTTCTCAGTTATTTCATGATTATAAACATCTCACTTAATTACCATCCAGAAGCAAGTGAAATCTGCTTTCTCCCTTAACCAACCTCCAGTTCTCACCAGTAACTCCTCATTCTTCCATGCCTGCGTTCATGTCTTCACTTATTAAATAAGACTAAACACGTGCAAAGTGTGAAACTGTGCTCTTGTCGTCAGTCACACAGCGCGAAATAAGGCAAGGTTCATCCACTGACGGAGCTTGCCTTCTGGTGGGGGAGGCAGCAATTAGGAAGCACATGGGAAGTACAAATATTGTATGTCAGACTATCATATGTGTTAGGAAGAAAAATCAGGCAGAGGGAG